TTTTGTGGGCGGCAGCTCGCTCGGCCGTATTTTCGTTTGCCCAAGGTCACCTTGGTATGTCGGCCGGGCGCTGGCGCTGGCGGGCAGACCACGGAGTGCCGGTCGGCCTCCCTGTTGTGAAACGTGGCCCTGAGCTGGCGGCGCTCGGCAGGCAGCTCGCTCGATGTGTCCGTGCACGGGCTGCTGCAGGCTGGGATTGGGCTTCGTGCGAGAACAGTGAGAAGGGAGCAGGTCAACGTCTATGTAGCTTTGGATGCATCATGCACACATCGTGCATGCATGGTCTGCTGACTAACTCGTGCCTCGCATGGAGTGGGCTCCTCGGGGCTCCTGGACCTCCACGCCATGCTGACGAGGGTAGGGGACTTGAACCTTTTATTATTCGGCTCTTGGGTGGGTCACGTAGCCAGCGACCCGCGGTAGCAGGCGCGCTCGAAAGAGCGAAGAGGAAGGTGGGGCAATATGGGCAGTGTGCACTAACCCGCGCCCCGTAGGGCTACCGGCGGACCCTACCACCCCTAGGGGAGGGGCCGTTTTGGCCCCCCCTAAGATCTCGGAAATTTACCGGCCGATTTTCAAAATTCAAACGGTGTTCGATAGCCCCACCGGGGAACTACCTTGTGACCAAATTTCATTGACCTAGGTCAAACCGATGACGTCACAGATCAGGTCAAAAGTCGGATTTTCACCGTTCACAGGCATTTCAAGAAATGTGTTGTCAAATCGAGTAAATTGGTAATTTATTGAAAACCATCGATGGTACATTGTTCGTCAAACACATACTTTGCTATCTGAGGTCACTGATACCAGGTCAGGTCACAGCGAGGTCAGGTCACAGCGAGGTCAGGTCACCGGGGGTCACAATATGAAAGTGTGGTGTGATACATGTTTTATGGTCCACTCCATTTTACATGACAAATGCGATTATGTGGGTTAGGCAGCCTTTGGGGCCAGCCTGGGTCACATTTTGGTGAAGGTCAGGTCAAGGTCAGGTCAAATTAGGTCAAATTTCAAAGTTGATATTTTTGCATAAAATTGGTATCGATTCGATGCAGCTCGTCGCGGGGAGTCTAATGGTGGTCTTTGTTCTGCTCTACGAGGTCTAGAATTGCCAAAACTTGAGTTTGAAAATTTGACGTCATCATTTTTGAGCAGTTTTCTGTTTTTTTTTTGCTATAACTTGGCCAAAAACGAGGTATCGATATGAAATTTGGTAGGGGAAGGAGGGTGAATTGCGCCACCTTAAGGAAAAACGCTAATTGTAAGAAAACCACTGGAGATGTAAGCATGCACTGGTAACCATTTTAAAGAGGAACTCATTGGCTACGATTTAAGAGCCTCCCGATCAATTAAGAATGTTTCGTTTGCTTCTGACAGCTGCTTTTTCAGAAACATGCAAAAGGGCGCATTTACCAACAACTGCTGTAAATTGCGCCAGGGGGATGGCGCAATTAGAATCCAATTGCGCCCTATCCTATAACATGGCTAAGCAAAGGAGACGGAATGCATACACTCCGGCATTCTATGTCATTGTGGCTTACTTGAACATGTATTATGTGAATCAAGCTCGATACATAATAAATGTAGATATAAATTGCGATGTTTTTTGCGCAGGTAAATAACTTTACTTGTGTCCAGTATGCTTGTGAAGTGGAACGAAAACGTTTGATGTAACCGACTAGATATATATGAACGTATGCGCCTAGACGGTTATATTTTCAGTCGTTTCTCTCAAAATTAAAATTTTTTATTGCTTCTACAACTTTTTTGACATCAGTTTTTACTTTGTATCATGGCTGTCACCTCTCACGCCTCTGTCCATGTTAAAAATGCCGTATTTTGTCAATTACACCGGGCAAGCTCATAGCCCAAATGGCAGCTACATTATAAGTTCGATGAGAGAAAAAAAATTTTGGACTGACGATGGCGGGTTGCTCCCCTGCCTGACATAAAACTCCTTCTTTATTGCAATCAGTTAATGATGCATTCATACTGTCGTGATACAATAGCTACACCATTATTCTATTTGCGCCCCCCTGGCGCAATTGCCATGGGCGCAATTAAAATTGAGGTACTTTTTAATAAAAGCGTAGAAGTTACCATAAAAATGCTGAAGGATGTTTACTGTTTCAGTGAAATATAATGAAAAAAGGATTTTTCTTTCCAAATATCACTCTCAAAATGACACATGTATCGCCTATTTTTATAGCCAACGGTTCAAAATGCTGCAAAAAAGTTAAGAAAACGCCGTAATATCTTCGATGGCGTAATGAGCCTTGCTGATTGGCTTCATCGGAGAGCTTGGGCCATAAAAGGAACTATCCAGTGGCGAAAATAATGTTTTCGAAAACAAAATGCTGAACATGCCATTGAATTCGTGGGAATGTGGGTGGGCGCAATTGGTTAGGAGGGCGCAATACACCCACTTTCCCCTATGTAGATAGAAGACGGTAGGTGCTATCACATATACTCCGGTTTTTCGAAACTCAAAAAACTTTTTTGATTTTTCGGCTAACATAAAAAATGCTTTTTTGATTTTTGGGGGTCAAAACTCAAAAATCTCAAAAATCCGAGATTGCAATTTTGTAGCCCTGTGAATTCTACACCTTTTTTTTGTCTGATCATTTTTCTGTATCTTCAAAGCTGTAGGCGTGACAGGTCTTCTCGCGAGGTCTTTTTTCGGTCGAAAATGACAGAACATGACGTCATTCTGACGTCATTTGTGGCCGACCTATCATAGCCTCTGGAAAATTTTTGGTCACAATGTGTAAAATTGATGCCCGGAGGGGTTCTGAAAGTTTGGTGGCGATATCTCCAGCCGTTTAGGAGATATCGACGGAAAAGGACAGGGAGGGGCCGTTTCGCCCCCCCCCCCCCTACGGGGCGCGGGTGATGAAGAAACATTATGACAACGTTTGAAACGTTATTCAATCACTCCTCTTTGGAAAGAGCACATTTGAACATGCATTTATGAAACATGAGTGGGCCGATAAAGGCACCTAGTTTTAAAGGGACCCTCCCACCTTAACATTAGTTTTGAGTTGAGATAGCCAAGTTTGCGGCCAGGCTCAGAAACCACCATTTATCCTGGTCGCAACCCCCGCAGCTTTATGGTGTTCAAGAAATTTCTTCCCTTTACTTGCAGGGTGGGACCAGCGTGGTCCCTATCTCTTAACCATTACGGGAGTCTGATGACGTCATCAGGCTTTCGAACGTCCGTTAAATGTTTGACTAAAACGTTTTGTAGCACGCGGTGGTATATGCTGCTTTGCGCGCAACAAATGCCGCACTTTCAAATAAAGTCGCTAGGAACAGCGGAGATCCCAAAAAGTAAGCAAAAGTAAAAGTCTAATATCTTGAAAACCGGTGAATATTTTTCGATGAAATTTGGTAGATATTCGTTTTTGCTCTTTCTGAACCGAGCGACATCACTTTCATGCCAATTCATTAACTTTTTTGAAGGTGGGAGGGTCCCTTTAACTGTAACAACAAAAAGCACTTATGGGCACTGAGCCGATCGAGATCGAGAGAGTTGACCCCTCGAGGTCACCGAGGTCACCATATTCGAAACGGCTGATGAAATCGGATACGGCAAATTGGTGATGTTTTTGTCTCGATCGGCCCAGTAGTTGCTGAATTATAGAATGGCTACAAAAGGCGAAAGTGTTAAGCTGACCCCTCGAGGTCACCGAGGTCACCTGGGGTCACCATATTCGAAACGGATGCCCGGGCGAGTGGAGCGGACCAGCAACGGTCGCTGCTGAGCACGTTTCCTCCACCCACCCCCTCCAACCATCTGCGCTGGTTTTTATTTACCTGCATTTCCTTACCTCGTCGACGGTCTGAGAAAGAGAGACGGGCGGCCGATAAACAGCCATGAGCCAACACATGAGCGTGGAGCATACGATACCGAAGCGTTACGAGATTAAAGGGACCCTCCCACCCAGTGTCAGAAAAGTGGTTTGGGGATCTAAGTTCGCGGAACAAAATGTTTAGCTGCTCACGGAACAAAAATCATAAAGTAAGGCACTGTAGGGCCATGCGTATTGTTCTAGGTATGCTTTAAGTATACAAGATATTTGCCAGAGTCTCAGTCAGAAACAGCAGCTTCTACATAAAAAATAAAGGTTCAAGGAACGCAGCAGGTTGTGGCCTTACAGCCCAGGTGTTAGACTTATTTATAATTAGTTAGCAAATCTGGACATGCAGGTAATGGATGACCACTGATGCTCAAAATTATTCATAATGGAAAATATACAAATTATTCTTAAAATTGTGAATGCAGTGAGAAAAATGAATGGGGTATAAAAATATACACAACATCCAGAATATGCTTTTCAAATGACACATTTTCACATGAAACAAAAACTGCTAAGTACATTGAAATACTATTTGAAATACCTTTAAGCAACATCAAAACATAGCCAAGTGGACTGGTACCTACTACCTACCTACCTAGATAGTATCAGTTTAAATGGACTTGTACCTACCTATACCTATCTAATGCAAGTTTGACAAATTTGACGCAATCCAGCTTGAAGCAAATAACCAACAAATAACGAACCACAAAGGCACAAAAACATGCCAGCACTTAAAGAAAAAAGGTCTTGTGCAAGACAACTCCCAAAAACCATGCCACAAATGATTATAATCAATAATAGATAATTGCCCCCGTGCTTGCCCAAACTGAAACGGACGCCTCGCACCTCGAGCCTTGAGAAATGGCGCGGAGGATGACTCGGCGAGGGAAATTAGAGGAAAGGGATTTCCTCTTTACTGGTTTTCAATTTGATAAAAATGATTCAAATTGATGAAAACTTCAAAATAGCATATCATATTTAAAAAGAATCTAAAATAAATGAATATTTGACCTCAATCTGGCTGCTTTATTTCAAAAAATATACTTATAAGCAAAGGGATTTTATGCCCTAGACAAACATTACTTCATGTAAAAGTGATATCAGCATATGTCGATATTATACCTGCAATCGGCATCAACTGGGCAATAATTTTATGCTATGAAAAGCGCCGTCTTTCAACGATTCTAACGGTACCTAATTTTTTATAAATAAAAGCCGAGATTGCTTAAACGTTCCAAATTAAGTGAGTTGTTCCGTGACGAAACATGGTCACGGCGTTTCAATAAAACTATATGAAAACGTCCATAAAAATATAAAAATTGGACATAGAAACAAGCAGAATTGAACAATCTATGATGCGATACCTAATTTTAACCGATTGCAAGCCTACTTCAACCTTTATTCTACCCTTACTTTTGTTCCGTGTCACGGAACAAGAATATGGTAAACTGAGAAATGCACTGCCATTGAAATGCCGTTATGAGGATATGGCAGCCTCACTGAACGGTCGAAAGAGCGTCTTTTTGGGAAATTCGACAAATAATGCGCATCATGGTCAAAAGTAATGTTTATTTTTTTTTAAATCAGTGTTTCCTGCATAAAAATCGTTTTCTGCCCAATAGTGGACGAGAAAGCAGGAAATCGGTAGTTACTGATTTGATGAAAGAATACGCAAAAGGAATGGCAGTGTATCCATAAACGTGGTGTGGATTGTGCATTGTGCAAAGACATTGTGGTGAGGCTGAGACTGAGGACTTGCCATTCAAGTCGTAGGTATTGGTATGGGTGGTTGTTCGTGATAATATTGATTTATCGTAAGAAGCATCTAACCTCATTCCGTGCACGTGACATGCAGGTGATCATGGTTGAATTGGATGGTAGGTATCATCCTGTCACGGGCTGATTCTCTTTCGTAAACATCTGATTCTCATTCGTAGACAAACCAGGTGTGAAATGTGATGGAAACATTTATTTATTTCACAAACACACTCAATACCATACATTCAAGGCACGTATACTGGATTCATTCCTTCACGCTTGTTTTAAAACTTGCTGGATAGTTTGACATGGTTTGTCAATACTTCTATCTTGTAAGCAGTAAGCACTTCAACTTTGGAAAGTAATGAATGACTGGCATTTTAACTGATCCAATTATGATGATTGCATGGTGAAATTGTGGAGCAACTGCTTCTTATCTGTTTCAATAGTACTTGCAGGATGCTTGCTTGCTGCTTTGGAGATCTGAAAACAGAACAAAGCACAATGTCAAATTTTCAATTAACATGTATCTTTAGTAAGTTTCCCTTTCAGTCCTGTGATGCCCAGTTGCAGTTGATATTTAGTCAGTGGTGGAACAAAAAAAGTGATTATTAGCAGTGAAAAATCTCACAGAACAAATCTTCCAAGTTCAAAAAAATTGAGAAACCGGCCACTTTTCTGACACTGCTCCCACCTTAACATTAGTTTTGAGTTGAGATAGCCAAGTTTGCAGCCAGGCTCAGAAACCACTATTTATCCTGGTCGCAACCCCCGCAGCTTTATGGTGTTTAAGAAATTTCTTCCCTTTACTTGCAGGGTGGGACCAGCGTGGTCCCTATCTCTTAACCATTACGGGAATCTGATGACGTCATCAGGCTTTCGAACGTCCGTTAAATGTTTGACTAAAACGTTTTGTAGCACGCGGTGGTATATGCTGCTTTGCGCGCAACAAATGCCGCACTTTCAAATAAAGTCGCTAGGAACAGCGGAGATCCCAAAAAGTAAACAAAAGTAAAAGTCTAATATCTTGAAAACCGGTGAATATTTTTCGATGAAATTTGGTAGATATTCGTTTTTGCTCTTTCTGAACCGAGCGACATCACTTTCATGCCAATTCATTAACTTTTTTGAAGGTGGGAGGGTCCCTTTAACGCAACTAACGATTAACGATTAAAGGGACCCTCCCACCTTCAAAAAAGTTAATGAATTGGCATGAAAGTGATGTTGCTCGGTTCAGAAAGAGCGAAAACGAATATCTACCAAATTTCACCGAAAAATATTCACCGGTTTTCAAAATATTAGACTTTTACTTTTGTTTACTTTTTTGGGATCTCCGCTGTTTCTAGCGACTTTATTTTAGAAGTGCGGCGTTTGCGGCAGATGTTGCGCGCAAATAGCATATACCACCGCGTGCTACAAAACGTTTTAGTCAAACATTTAAAAATCGTTAGATATCTGCGCTGACGTCACACATTCAGAGGGGTATACCTAAGCATTAGCCCCTCTGAATCAAAATGCTGCAATTTTGAAATTCAATATTTCCGATTTAAGGCATTTCTCGATGTTGTGAGTGCCGAAACCGGTAATTGTGAGCCAGGGACCCCATTTTGGCTATCTCAACTCAAATCTAATGTTAAGGTGGGAGGGTCCCTTTAACGATTAACGCCAGTGATCAGGATATGAAATCGCATACGGCGCAAGGCCATATATAGTGATATATAGTATACTCGAACGGCGAATCGAATGATGGTGTTTTCGTCTCGATCGGCAAGTGGTTCCTGACACAGTGTATATAAATAGTTATAAAATGAGTAATAAATGGTTCCTGAGTTATAAAATAGCTGCAGTAGGCAAAAATGTCAAGTTGACCTTTCGAGGTCACTGAGGTCACCCGACATCACCATATTCAGAACGACCAATACAATCGTATCTCTTGATCTGAATCGTGTTCAGTCCGTTCCCATTAGCTTAGTGGTTCCTGAGTTAGAGAATGGCTGCAAGTGTGGCAGTCAAATGGTGCAATGTGGAGGTCGAGCTTTGTTGACATCACTCTATGACGTCAAGAATGACTGGCCAACAAACGCTATCATTTGGCGAGCTGTCATTGGATAATTTCTGCTGTTTTGTCAAAAGACGCACGCGAGTCAGTTTTCTTAAGAGTTTTCGAACACTAATTGCCGACAGCGCTCTAAAATTGTCTACGGTGCATAAGCGCTTGTTTTGGTGGTATGAGAAGGGCTCACATTGGGCACACACATTTTCTCCACAAACGTTTTGGGTTAGAAAGCGGTAAATGAAGATCCGCAATTACTGATTTATAATACACCTTGCCAGTAGAGAGTAATGATGTTCTGTCACTTGTGATGTTGTGTCTCATCTTGTGTCACCTACAGGCTACGTATCAAGGCTATGTATGGCCTTGGCCTTGCACTTGTTGTTGTGTCTTATTAGCATGGAATAAACTTCGCATGACAAATTGAAATGGTGTTGGTAGTTGGTACATGCCCTTCTTATCTCTGATCTAGTAAGGCTCATGCCATTCGATATATTTTACTAAATTGTAGTTAAATGGATAATCCCTGCTATTCTAAAGAAATCTGTTCTTTTTGCATTTGAAAAGTGATAGGTTATCCCAAGCTCATCTAGAAAACCCTCTTTTTCTTTTTTCAAGTAGCAGAATGCATATTTTATGTATGTACAGCATGCTATTTTTATAAATTAAGTCGGAACCTTTTGAATGGAAGGGTTCACAACAAAAGAGTCCCCACTAAGCAAAGCTTGTTTCGTTGACCCTGCCCTCTACCCTCCGATCGCGCAATTCCGGTTCTATGGCAGAATTTGGAGTCCAAAGTTTAACGTGCGCACATAGCCGCGCACGGCCGGTCCCCTCACTGAATTCGCCTGGCTACGGCCTGCCACCAACCACAACCATACCTGTCAGGAGGCCCATAAACGTCAAGTGCCGGTCGCGCCTCGAACCCGGACTGTTATAACTGGGAATTGTGCTCTCACCACACCGAGTCCAACACTACTAACTGAGGGACAGGCAAATTTCTTCCTGCTCTTGTCAGTTTTTTTTTTTTTTTGCTGTGCACCTGAAGGTGCCTGCTCTTTGAGTACAGCTGTTGATGGCCTGTTTCTGTTTTAAGTTGGTACCAGTGATGGATAATCACAAAGAAGCTGACCAAGACATGGCTGACAACAGCAGCGACAGTGACTCTTCAATGGAGGATGACACGCAACAGGAGGAAATCACCACCCTTATGAAAGAGGTATCATGACTTAGCTTTTTTTGCTTATATTTCTTAGTGTGCCCAGCCCATGCTTTTGCAGGGTTATGCATGGATAATTTGAAAAATGGAGCTCATTGAGTTATTGAGTTAGTGTGTTTGTGTGTGTTGATTCGTATTGTATTTACACGTTTTAGCGCAGCGGTTTGTGACGCTTTGATGACTCGCTGGCCGTCGTTACCAGGTGCAGGAGTCGCCGTACAAGTACGACTCTCACGTGCGGCTGATCGAGCTTCTGCGGTCGTCCGACAGCCGGCAGATGCTCACTGAGAGTCGCGAGACGATGAACAAGTACTTCCCCCTGTCACCAAGTGAGCCAACCTTTTTGGAATGATAAGTGGGTCGTGATTTCTCATTTTTTTTTTAATTGTACCTTTGTGGTTACGGATGGATGGGGTAACGGGGTCACTGTTCTTACTGAGATAATTGATTACCTTTCAGTATGACCGGGCTCCTTCAGCTTTTAGTGTGAGATATTGGAATCTTCAATTGCCATGGAGCTAACCTTAAACCTTCTGCGCATGTTGGAGGAAGGCAAGGGCCCGCTCCTTCTGTGATAATGGGTGTTGCGTTAGAGAATCCCCTCTTTTGCGAAATCGGTACCTAACTGTCCAGCAACCATATCATGGGTGGAAAGAAATTATGCGAACATGTACGTCATTTTCCTACAACATCGCCACTCAAGTAGCAGGGCTGCGGAGTCGATGGATTTTAGGGTGACTCCGACTCGGACTCTGACTCCGGATTGAAAAATCGACTCCGACTCCAACTCCGACTCCGGACGGTTCTATTCATCCGGAAATTCCCATTGGTGGGTCGCTGAAAAAAAGTTCGGCTGAACCTGTTTGTCAGTGAGTATGTGAGTATGTGAGTGAGTTTGTCCAAGCTTTTTTGGACCTGGAGTCAAAATGGGTGGACCGATCGGGACGAAAGTGGGACCGTTTGATTCGTCTCCGGCGAGGTAAACTTTTGGCGCTTGCCTCGGTTCGCTCGGTGCTTCGTGGCACATGCTATTCCGCTTCAAAGTTTCGGTGACACGAAATTTTTTGTCAGACAAGGCTACAGGTCAACCCGAGGTCACGGGCAAAGCCATACTGGCGGGACACATCGGTAACACCTTGAACCAGTTTCCAGGGGGGGGGGGGGGTCACCGTCTGCGAGGGGTGCAGGCTGCACGTGCTGGGGTCGGAAAACCGTTTTGACGTGAGGTCCTCTGGCTCAAAGAAATTTTAAGCTATCAACCTCAAAATCGGTTCAATGGTAGTCCCAGGCAAGGCCTCCAAAATAATGCACATTTCATTGGGCTATGGATCCTCCAATTCTGGCCCAAGGCAACGCACGAGCGCTGCCGGCATCTAGTATCTATATCATGATATTGAAGTTCATAATGGAGATGTTTATATCTTGCCTGAAACGATCACTTGTGCGTTCCAAGGCTTTGTGTTGCAAATATGCATTTAAAAAAAACATGCAGAATTAAGAAGCAGGTTCGGGGGAATTCACAGTCTTCTGCTTCATTCGCTGAAAACGTTCGTCCAAAACAGCAAAATGGTCTTTTTTCGACAAAATCTAATTTCGAGCGCAGTATCGTCAATCAAACAGGTGTAGTCAGGGGCGTCGCCACGGATTTTTGAGTGGGGGGGTCGGGTTTCCGGTCTTCGTCTTGATGGGTAGGGGTGTTTTTAGCCACACTCCCGGTTTTTTTTCGTGTGCCCGGAGAAAAACCTCGGCGCGCAGCGCCGCGAAAGCAGCGGTATATCTTATTGTACATAAATTTTGCATCGTGCATAAAAATCAAGCAGCGGTCACCTGAGGTCAGGTCACAATGTCATGTCAAGTTCAGTTTTAATGCCTCTTAAAACTGCAATCTTGTCATTCCTACAGATTATCTCCTGACTCCTATAAGTCTGAAATTTGGTGTAATGAATGGGATTATAAGTGCCAACAGTTCATGAATCTGGGATTTTACATCTGAGAAGCGAAGTCAGGTCAAATAGGTGTGTGAGCTAGATACTTTTGTAGCCATGGCACCTTGTTCATTTTAGAGATAAGGTGCAGCTAATGACCAGTGGTGACTGAAATGGTCAGTCATTAGGTCATCAAAGGTCTCTAACACATTTTCGACAACAACTTTTGATGGAGACGTTGTAGAGCGATGACAGCACCTGGAGTGTGTTCAGCTCAGTAACACGGATCGATCCATATGCAGCAGGTTCTTTTCCGGTCAGGTCATGACCTTTACCTGATATCAAGTTTTCTATTCAAGTTTTTAAGTTCAAATTGTAAGCCATGCGACGTGTTTCGACGAAACAAAAACGATGGTGATAACATGAATATCATACACATTCACTGAATCATAGGTTGTTACAGAACAAATGTTTCGGCAAAATCCGTCCGTTTAGCTGTTTGGACTCTATGGTACACAAGCCATAGACCCGAAGTCATATCTGAGGCGAAGTTGGCGAAAGAGCTTTAAAAGCTATCGAATACGCTTTATGTGTTGCTGTAGCTCTTATTCGTATTTTGCGGGTCGCTAAGGTAAAACGTTTACCAACGTAACGCATAAGGCATGCTTTCGGCCCCTGATCGACGTAGAGTTTCGCGGAAGAGCGAAAATGCTGCCCGTGATGAGAGAAAGCCGATGATGCCCAATTTCAAGGTCTTGGCCGCGTCATCTTAGGTCAACGCCCAAAAGTAGGAAAAATCTGGCCGCCTGCTAGAACTTAGTGAGCCGTAGCTGTTATCGGGGTCCCGAGTACGAGTTCGATGTTAGTCTTGAACAAAGATGATGACTCCATGCATTTCGGGTAGATCGGGTCGGGTCAGGTCAGGTCGACCAGCAGACTTCCTGCCGGCCATCTAGAGTGGGTGACTGACAACCACCAACGATAGCTTCGTAACATGTTGCATAACCATAATTTATCAAAACTACTTCAAGCGGTTCAAACGGGCGTTAACCCTATTCCTGGCGGGGGGGCCTCAGGAGCCCCCCCCCCCCTGAGGTTTTTTGGTTATTTCTCCCAAACGCATTGAGCTAGGAAGCTCAAATTTTCTGACTTTTCCTAAAAGGCTTCTACGCAACATGTCTGAAAATTTTGAGTTAATCTGACCTCAGGTCAGGTCACCAGAGGCGGTTTGGTGACCTTACCTCAGAAAAGTTTGCAATCACGCCAGAGCTAGAGTTTTTGACCGATCAATTTCTTCTCTTCAGGCTTTAGTTAGGGTACCAGTATGTGCAATTTGTTTATCTCGAAATTTTGATATCGGTGACCTAAGGTCAGGTCAGTCTCGCGACCTCCCCATTATAAGTCAATGGGGGAAAAATCAACTCCCTGTTTTTACCACTAAAACGGGTCGGAATGGCCCCATATACCATACATGACTTCATATACGATCAACCTTCACTACCTTGAGGTCTGTTTTGCTGTTGGGCAGCTGTGAGGTCATGTGACGTCATCAAAGGTCACCAAAGGTTTTTGGCCAATAACTCCGTACAGGAACAAGATACAGACGCGTGGATGGTCTCATTGTGTTCAGCTCGTCAAGACGCATCGAATGATATACATAATGACCTCGAGGTCACGTGACCTGAGGTCAACCTTTGACCTTGACCTTTCGAGGTCAACATATATATCATTCGATGCGGATTGACGAGAGGATCACGATGATGCCCTTAGTTTGTTCCTATCTTGACTAATTCGAAAGTTATTCGAGAAAAACTCTCCATATCTAGCGCCGCCATTTTGACTTTTTCGACCCCTGTGACGTCATCTTTGACCTGACCTGAAAATGACCTTGGTAAAAATTGTAGATCTTGACCGTGCGTATCCGATGCCGTTTACCGTTTGTCGCTGTGATGTGTAGTTTTTGAGATCTGAAGGGGGGCCGAATCGGCCCCCCCGCCAGTTTCTTGTCCCGGCGGAGCCCGCCAGGAATAGGGTTAAACTCGAAATCAGCCCCAAAAACCACACTTGTAAGTGGAAGCAAATAAAACTCAAAAAAGTTTACCAAGGTCATCCATATTCGAATCAGGGCCAATTTTTTTTTAGAATAGGTGTAAAATTCATTAACACGGGGTCACTGGAAGTTTCGTTGCAATATACTCCTTTTTGCGCGTCTTATTAGGAAAGCCCCAGAGGGATCCACCATCTGACCCCATTTCCCCTATGCAGGCAGGTCCGAGGGTAGCAGGGCTGAGGCTAGCCAGGTACCTCGTAGTTACTGATACGTCATCCGATGAATCGACTGCAACCATTATTTTGACAATCAGACGAACGCTTGGGTCAGTTTTGAAGCGCTCGCTCATTTGAGGGATAAAAAGGGACTAAAATCATATTGTCATGCTGATGTTGTAGCCCACAGCTTATTGACCTATAAGCAATAGGGACTAGGGAGCTCTTGAAGCGATTCTGAATCTCACGTGGTATTTGTTGATGTTGCTGACGCCAACTTCCCTGACATGATAGCTAAAAAAAGCATACTCAGCATCGCCAAAAGTGGGGGGGTCGACCCCCCCGGTTCTGACGAGTGGGGGGGTCGCGACCCCCCCGACCCCCCCGTCGGCGACGCCCCTGGGTGTAGTGCATGACTTTTAGCCATGCAGCGCTAACTCTTGACTCCGGAGTCGGAATCGGTAAGATTTTGGCGACTCCGACTCCTGTCGACTCCGACCGACTCCAACTCCGACTCCGGGCAGAACTGTCGACTCCGACCGACTCCAACTCCGACTCCGACTCCGCAGCCCTGGTCAGTAGCGACTTGGTATTAACAAAGTTGTCAAACGGCATCAATTATAGCGTTTAGCTGAGCGATGTTCTCTTCTGTATGCCTCCCAGCTGTGTGAACACATCCGCCCCTGGCTCTGACCGCGTCCCGTCCGGCCGGGCCGCAGCGCTGTGGCTGAGCTGGATCCGTGACGAGCACCAGTGGGCCGAGACGGACGAGGAGCGGCAGCGCGTGCTGGTGCTCTGTGACCGCGCCGTGGCCGAGTACGTCAGCGTCGACCTGTGGCTCGAGTACTGCCAGCTGGCCATCGGCGGACTGGCGGCCGCCGACGGGCCGGCCCGCGTGCGCGCCGTCTTCGAGCGCGCGCTCACCGCCGTCGGCCTGCACGTCACCAAAGGGGCGCTCATCTGGGAGGCGTACCGCGAGTTCGAGAACGCCCTCTACAGCACACTGCAGGTCAGTGGCCGCTGGCTCCAGCCGAGGCTGTATTGTTGCATGTGCAATGTATGGACACGCTAGTCTCCCGCAGCTGCCGTGTCGGCGTCCGCATCTCTTGCTGCTACTCTGTGTCTGCCCTCTCTTCATTCATTCGCTCGCTGTATCCAATATTCGACATCCGTAATCACTTGCAGCTGCAGATGTTGTTTCAGTGTCCAGTGCCTAGCCGGCCTGCGTGTGTCGCAATCTGACCTGTTCCTCCGCCTGTTCCCAGGAGGCGGGCGGTGAGGCGGCGGCTGAGGCCCGCGGTCGTGTCACAGCCCTGTTCCGGCGTCAGCTGCGCCAGCCGCTGGTCGGTCTCGAGCTGTGCTGGGCGGAATTCGAGGCCTGGCTGGCGGCCGACGGCGCCGCACCTGACGCAAACGACAAGCGAAACTACGAGAAGGCGCTGGAGCGACTGGAGACGCTGCAGCCACTCGAGGAGGCGCTGGTGAGTAGCGACATGGAACGGCGCCGAGGACCCACGGATAGGCGCTTCGAATCATCGTCGAGTACACAGAGTACCGTCGAATTACTTTTTCTCTCATTATATATATATATATATATATATATATATATATATATATAATATATATATATATATATATATATATATATATATATATGTACTTTTATTTTTCTTTCTCGTGCTTTCCCGCAATGCTGGGCTCCATGGCTCTATACTACACATATATGTCTGCTGGCTGAAACTATTTTGTGTGCCCGGCATATTGGCCTAGCTGGCGGTTCCGCTATGACCTCTGGTGTTCGGTCTGTCGCTGCTCTCTGATCGCCGCTGTGTACCCTCCCCCGTCCAGACGGAGGAGGCGGAGGGCGGCGGGACGGTGGCCGCCTACCAGCAGTACGTGCGGCACGAGCTGACGGACGGCACGCCGGCGCGCGTGCAGCTCGTCTTCGAGCGCGCCGTGCTCGACAACTGCCTATCACTGGAGCTGTGGCAGGCGTACACACGCTACCTGGACTTTGAGCTGCGGCCGGCCGGTGACGTGACGCTGGCGGTGCACGAGCGCGCCGTCCGCAATCTGCCCTGGTCGGCCGAGCTCTGGGAGAGCTACATCCGCGCCGCCGAGCGCGCCCAGCTGCCGCTCGAACGGCTGGAAGGTGGGTGGACGAGAGGGTTGCTAAACGGATGCGTTTGGTTAATCGGTTTGCTTGTGTGATACGCGCTGATGTGTCCATCATTCTGAGCTGGTGTCTGATAGTCTGAGCCGTTCAAACGGTAACCAGAGATGTCGGAGCTGGGAACGCAGCGTGGTGTTGCCGTACGGCTCTGTGTCTGAGGTGACTTCTCTGGCCGACAGACCTGGTCAGCCGGGCGCTGGTGAGCGGTCTGCAGACCCCGGCTGACGTGCTGCTCGTCTGGCTGGCCTGGATCGACCTCTACCGGCGACGGCTGTCCAGTGACGGCCGTAAGGGTGCCGAGCTCATGGTCAGCATGCGGGAGCAGTTCAACAAGGCCTGCGAGCACCTGGCGCAAGGTAAACAGGCAGCCCGTGGCGCCCGTCCCTAACGTGATGATCTGGCCACATGCCGTCCTCTCATGAGGGATGTTGTTTGTCTTTTGGGGTACCTATTCAAATATTGTATCTCATATTTTAGCCGGGCGTGCACACGCACTCTTAGTTTTACGGGACGACGGGGATGGTGTCAAGTCCATAGCTTGTCATATCACTTCGAATCAGGTTATCCGATATAATTTGGTATCGTGCCGCTCGATGTCGCCCCCTTCATTGCCTTGCACAGTCGCGTGTCGTGCTCTGCGCTCTCCATGTTCACGGAGTTGACGGGTGCCGTGGCGGCGGGGTCGGGCGGGCAGCGTTCGGCATGGACGGCGACCCGGAGTGTGTGCTGCTCCAGTACTGGGCCAGTCTGGAGGCGGCCAACGGCTGTCTGGGCGAGGCCACCGCTCTCTGGGAGGACATCCTCAGCCAGGGACACGACAAGTCGGCGCGCATGTGGCTACAGTTCCTGCGGCTTGTACAGTAAGTGGTGGAAAACCTCGCGGTGGTTGACAAAATAAAACACCGTGTTTTATTTTGTGTATCCAGCGAGTGAAAAAACGTGAAGTTTTTTCACTCGCTGGGTACTCAACTGACAATATGGAGTCCTGTGCTGTCCTGTGCTGAAAGACTTTTAAATTTGGTACAACTTGCCCTCTGGTGCTGACGTGATGGACGCGCTAGCGACTCTGAACAACATGCATGTGAATAAAGGAAACTATCCAAATGAATTTTCCTAGCATAAGCCGTATGCATTACCTATAGTAAGCTGCCTTGAAGGCTGAAGCTGACGTACCGTATTCTAGTCGGTGTGATAAATGGCGTCTCATCAGCCAGTGCTCAGGCCGTGTCAGGTCTGAAGGTGACATTGTCGTGCCCGGTAGACGGTTCGGCACGGCTGAGCAGCTGCGGAAGCTGTGTGCACGCGCCATGGAGCGCACTGTAGACTGGCCGGAGAGCGTGTACGAATTGTGGGCGGCCTTCGAGCGCGAGCGAGGCACCCTCGACACCTGGGACCAGATGGCTTACAAGTGAGTTCGGTACACCGGCTGTGAGTGAAAAGTAACACACCTGCCTTCTGGGATTATGCACTGATTTGCAATCATAACGACGTCTTGTTTTCGATGTTCATTAGAATATGTCTTTCTACTTCGTGTTTCTATTTATTTCAAAAAGTGTTACGTAAATTCTGAATTATAAATTAGTACTTGCACCGGTTGATCGATATGTGAGCGATAGGATGGCATGATCGTTTCGTTCATCGGTAATTAAGTGCTACGTTTTCATTCCCTGATAGGTACCGTGTCCGCATGAAACGTGTGGAAGCATTACGTGCCAAGGAGGTTGAAAAGCAAGCAGAAGAGCAACAACGGGTACAAGAGAAGCTCGAGAAGAGGAAGCAGAGAGATGTTGAAAGGAGGAAAACAAAGCGTCAGGAGTTGAGGGCAGAGAAGCAGCAGTTTGCGAAGCCCGATTCCGCTGCCGGACAGAAGAGAAAGGTAATTTTGTGTGAGGGTGCGTGACCGTGGTGCAACATCATTTCGTGAAGCTGTTATTTATTTTTCTTCCATCATGGTTTTATCAGTCATTGGTAGTGCAGGTACTAAACATTGCCAGCGTTTTGTTTGCGTTATGTATCCGTTGAATGTGCATCGGTCGCCCATCCGAATAATTATTGCTCAGGCTCGTCCGATCTGTCCGACAGCGCGGCTCAGAGGATGCAGAGGATGAGGAGGAGGAGCCGCGACCGGCGCCGGCTCAGAGGACGGCCGCCGACCCGGCCATGCCCCCGCCCCCGCCCGGCTTCAAGAAGCCCGCGCCGCCCGCCGCCGACGGCAAACCAGCCCCGCCCCCGGGCTTCAAACCGCCTCCCCCTCCCGGCTACAAACCGAAGGAGCCGGCGAGAGAAGCGCCGCCCAAAGGTAACTAGCGGCGGAAGAACGCATATTTTGTCGTGTGTTGCGAGACATTGGTCGACTTACAGCGACTTATATTTACACTCATTTGGCGCTTTACCCATACAGCTGTGCCAGCATTCCATCAAAAAGCATTGTTTTATTAATTGACTCGATTTGTGACGTGGCACGGACTTGTTTTTACGCTATGACGTTCCAATCACACTTCAACAGCTGCAGTTTAAGTCAAGGACCAGCTATTTGGCAGCCCGCTAGGCACTTTTTTATATCACCTTGTTTTTTGTAACACCTATCTTTTTATGCATTCTTAAATGGTTTCGTGGATGAAGTGACGGGCCTCTTTTCGTCGACTGAAAATGAGTAAGAAAGTTAACACTGACAGCCTAATTGTGCTCGTCTCTTCACTTTTCTTGACATTACTGTTTTGTGCATCTTGCAGATATATGTCTCACCTATGTTATTCATCAATCATCAAGTATAACGTTGACATTTTACGGACTATGATGAGTGACGACCGCGTTCTTTCGCATCATTACAGCGGGCGAGGAGGGCGGCAGCACGGGCGACGTTGAGCGGGACTCGCGGACCGTGTTCCTCAGCAATCTCGACTTCAACATGAGCGCCGACCGTCTGCGGCAGCACTGGCAGTCCACGGGCGAGATCGCCGACCTGCGCGTCGTCAAGGACTACAAGGGACGCTCCAAGGGCTTCGCCTACCTCGAGTTCACCAACATTGTGAGTGGTGGATGACGAAGGGGTCGGCAGAGAGTCGGGCTGACAGATGGCTATTCGGTGTCAGATTCGTGTGGCTTGCGCCACTGGTTATGAGCATGTCGATCGTGGTAATGGTGAGCTGTTATTACCGAACCGGTCAAATTGGTGAGTGAAGAGTTGGGGGTTCTCTTAGCCATTACCGCTGATAAAGTATGACGCCTAATCCGCGAATAACCGTGACACGCCTGTGACACCCGGTGACCGTGACTCGTCTGTACTTTTCACGGTTACTGTTACCCGCCTGTACCTCTTCCCGTAACCCTGACTCGCCAGTGAAGCTCCCAATGACCGCGGCCCGTTGGCTGTCAGCTGATTATCCTGACCCGTTTGATGACCGAGATCCATGGTTTTAGGCGGCGGCCGAGGCGGCGCTGAAGCAGGACCACAGTCCGATCGACGGTCGGCCGTGCTTCGTCTCCCGGCTCTGGAGCGGCGGGGAGCGGCCCAAAGCCTTCAAATACAACACCGGCATGGAGAGAAACAAACTCTTCATCAAAGGTCCGTGGTAGACGTGCGAACTGCGAAAAGAGGCAGATTGAGGCCCCAAGAGGTTATTATGCCACTAAATGCCACGACGGTAAACTGGTGAAGCAGCTTTTACTCTTTAAGGATAGCGTGCACTTGCAGCTAGTAATTGTTTTCGATATTGCAAATTATGCTCATTGATTTCATTCAAGATATCTTTACTGGCCACTCCCTTTGTTACAGGTCTGTCGCTGAAGACAACCGCTGACACCCTCCGCACCAAGTTCTCCGAGTTCGGGCCGCTTAAGGACGTCAGGCTAGTCACCCTCCGTAACGGCTACCCCAAGGGCATAGCCTATGTCGAGTTTGAGGACGAGGTGAGTAGACCGCTGTGTCACGACACGGTGGCGGGAAACGTCGAAGCCTGAGGCGTCTTAGCTTGATGGAGATATTCTGAAGCTGCCATTTGAGTGTTTGAATCGATGACTAACGTTATCCAGTGTGTCAGCACCTCTACCGGTTATCAGACGTGGCCATCAGCTCTTGAGAGCTGCTCAATACGCGTCGTTAGTCACTGCCCTTCGTACCTTCCACCCAATCCCTAGTCAATCGTGATGGGTAAGGCGTTTTAGCAGCACTGGGCAGCAGAGTGGCGGGCACACTGAAAAGTCCTCCCGGTGTGTTCATGCTGCTACCTCTGACTGACCGCCCACCGCCACCACTGTCCGACAGGCGGCGGCCCAGCGGGCGGTGGAGCAGACCGACCAGACCCAGCTGGAGGGAAGCACCATCCTGGTGGCCATCAGTGACCCGTCCAAGGCCCGGGGTGGAGCCGGCGGACCGACCGGCGCCGGCGGGGCGAGCGGCGCTGGCCGACCTCCGCCCCGACCGGCCGCGGGCCGAGGAGCTCCGGCCAGGTGAGCCGAACGGACGGACGCGCCGTGCACTGCCCAGTGACCAGTACAATCTCCGTGGCATATGACGAGAGTACCTGCGTTATATGCCTTTGGTTTTTTTTGTGATGGACGAGTTGACATGAAATGCCGCGGGGAAAACCGAGCAATCAAGTGCCATGACAGGGCCCGGTAGCGTCTAGCGGTGCGTTGGTAGGCGAGGACGGAACAAGTTCAGTTACAACGTTCAAACCTGATTCCTCTTTTTAAGGATAAGCCTTGGCTTTTGTTGCGTAAAACCTTTTTTCTTGGTAAAAAAATCAATTCTTTAATGGATCATATGTCAGAAAGTCCTGTCGTCTCTTTTCGGACGGGATGTTTGAAAGACAAGTCACTGTTGTGACGTCCTGGGGAAGTTGTTCTACGTTTGCTGATTGAGCCTCGGTCACTGCAGTGTCATCACCTCCCCGAGTGACAACCGGTTCCGCCTTCCAGGGGTCGCCGGCAGCAGACGGCGTTCGTCCCACGCGCCCTGCAGAAGAGGCCGGACCAGGCGGCGTCCGGCGACCCTACCGCGCCCCCCAAGAGCAACGCCGAGTTCCGAAACCTGCTGCTGGCGAAGAAAGACTGAGCGCCGCAGCTCGGAGCTGGGAGCGTCGTGACCCTCATCCACATCAAAGAGCGCTGTTAATTTTCACTGTCAAATACAGTTTTTTGTTTACTAGTGGATATTTTGAGTTTCAGTGAATTGACAAGAAACTACTATGGACGTCAAACCCCTTGAGACCCCACTTTTTTGCGATAATTTTTAAATGCGTCAACTCTCGTTGACAATATTCTGGCAATGTGTGTTTCAGAACCTGCCGAAACTTTTATTACTAAGGTATTTTGACGCCAAACGATTATTAAAGGTACTTCTCATTCACTCGTAATGTTAAATTTCACGGAACGAATCTGCTGTTTGGGTAGAGGCTACGCGCTCATGGGGCGGAGCCACGTAATGACGTCAGCGCTAAGCTCCGCCCTACCCCTCCGGCGCTCCTCGCCCGGCGACCGGTCACTCGCGTCTCTCGCTCCATTCAGGCTTGATGGTGGGCGGTAGCTGGTAGCGGTAGTGGGCGCTGGTAGATGGCATTTAGAGCAGATGGCGCTGGTGGCGGGGCTCGAGTGTGGCCGAGCGCAAGCCTCTGCCCGGGCCTGAATTGACCTTAACATTACGAGTGAATGAGAAGTACCTTCCATAATCGTTTGGCGTCAAAATACCTTAGTAATAAAAGTTTCGGCAGGTTCTGAAACATACATTGCCAGAATATTGTCAACGAATGTTGACGCATTTAAAAATTATCGCAAAAAAGTGGGGTCTCAAGGGGTTTGACGTTCATAGTAGACCCAATCGTCGAACGTCTTATAGATAGGCAGTCAGGTAGGGGAAGGTTACTTATGCCGGTTCAAGTGAAGCAATCAGAATGCGCTCCTTTCATGACGATCGGTTGCAGCATAATTTGTACAAAACTGGCCTGCTAAGTGCGAACGACGACACGGTCAGTACGGTTTGATTGCGGTCTCAACAGAAAATGCTTGTGAAAAAGGCTATAGCCGAGATCGAGACGATAATGAAATCGACTGCAGCAGATCGATGACTATAGCGAGGGCCTAGAGACAACCATAAATTTAAGGAAACAACTTGAAAACGTGTGCCTCGCGTGATCTCTTCACACGAAGGTGCGACCACAGCTATCTATAGCCGGACCTATCTTGATCTGTAAGAATATTGGCCGGACCTCTATCACGACAAGTGACATGGTGCTTGTGTTATGTTGCCAAGGAACTGATCGCCTTTGCTGCTAGCGGGTCAATGACTTGATGGCAACCAAATTGATATCCTCCTAGAAGAGACACATTCGGTGTCGAAATCGGTGGTCAGAAATCGATTGGATCAAGATTACTTGATTGGATAGCTCGACGAGTTTTTCTTTGCGTGCCAGGCCAAGATTAGGCTATACTAATATGCCTGAGGCTTCTTCATAATTTGGTAGCAATATGGCAGCAATTACGGGCTACATTAGTGGCGCTCACAAGACATCAACAAACCCGTGGGAAAACGCGCATATTTATCGTATTTATATACACTGGTGGTAAAACTTTTTTATTGTATGGGTACCGTGATAATTTGGCTTTTATTCATCGTTCTTTTAATGACATTCAATTATATGGACTGTTGTAAATGGAATCCTAGACAAATCAAAGCAACTCTCTGCAAATGAAAGTTTAAAGAGGGAAGCTTAGACAATGCCCAATGATCAAAATGCTTTCCTTCAGAAATCTTTCAAAATTAGAAATTCCTAATTAAAGTTCTGAGATTGATGAAAAGAAATACACCACTTTGGCGACATTTTAGATGAACCGCCTGCAAATGACTTTTTGATGCCTGGAATCAAATTCTCTTTGTCAACCCCAAATTGCCTAGTTTTTGCTATGGTTAAATGATTTTTATGCTTGTCCCACACGCCCTGCAGTGATTGTAAAAAATGATAAATGTTCACCAAAGGAATTAACTATTGTCATATAGGTAGAATGTCATCTTTTTTCTACAACAGAGGCTAAATATTGGTTGTGCAGAAGCTAATTATGCATTGACTGATCATATTTTTTTTTTTTTTTTAGTGGCCCTAACTTACGTTACCGGCCTCGCGAGGAGGGCGGCGACCTAACTACGCCGCGCAAAACAAACCGGCCGTCCTAACTAAGACCGGTGGCCACTTTTACAGCAAGACAACATGGGAAAACCCATATCCATGTACTATGCCATGAATATGGGGAAAAACCCATGAATTTACGTTAAGACGGATAAATGACAGTGAAACTTACCGGTAAATTGATGTTTGTGAAAGGAGGGAAGGAGGAAGTTTGTGAATGGTAAGGTTACGACGAGAGTTGGATGACAGGAATGGTTTGAAGAGTGGGGGATAGGTCGCTGGGAGGGATGGGGTTTGTGAATGTTTAAGCGTCACGATGAAAGGAAAGGTTTGGAGGATAGGGAATTTGTCGCTGCTGCAGTTGGCGGCCGACGGTGTCTGTGGTCGTTCAACCCGGCCGCCGCCGCTGTTCAGCGGCCGGGGTCCGCTGGTGTAGCTCGCTGGGCCGCTGAGCCTCTAAGCCTGCTCCCGCGGCTGGAGAAAACCCGTCTGCCATCGAAGCTCTGTGTTTCGGTACCAGCGAAAAAACTCGACCCATCGGCCATCCCGTATCACAAGTCAGCCTGGTGGTAGCGAGACGGGTGCCTGCTAACTCGAAGTCAAGGCCGTTAAAGTAGCTCTGAGTAGGGTGATGTTAGGACGAAATCAAGTACCAGGTTTGTCAATGTTGTGTCGTCTCCGAGAAGGGTCGGGAGGTCGTTTTTAAGGTGTTGTACCGCAAGATAGTTAGTGATGTGTCTTCGTTCGTGATGCAATGCCGTGCATGCGATCAAAATGTGCTCTACGGAGATGCGTGTGTCACAGGTGTGGCAAATCGGAGGGTCCGTCCTATCAAAAAGGTGGCCATGTGTGAGGCGGGTATGACCACACCTCAATCTGGCCAGGGTCACCTCGCGTATCCTGTCTGGTTGGTTACATGTGACCCATGTTCTAAGTTCTCGTTTGATCGCATACATATGTGCAGCATGATGTTGGTCCCATTTGCGTTGAAGGTACTCGGCGAATTTGATTTTTATCATATGGATAGCGTCCCCTTGGGCCATAGGTTCCACAACTGGATCAGGTCGCATTGCAGCCTCCTTTGCGAGGACATCCGCACGTTCATTTCCTGCAATACCGTAATGACCTGGAACCCAGAGAAGGGTCACATGCTGGCCCTCATTGAGGTCTGATGTGATTTTGAGAATATTGTAGATACCGTGGTGCGTAACATTATCAGTCCTTTCCAGTGCTTGAAGAGCGGATTTCGAATCAGTACAGATGGTTGCTCGATCAATCTTTTTTGCCTTGATGTGCTCCATAACTTTTTCGATTGCGTGAACTTCGGCACTGAAGACTGTCGTGAATTCTTGAAGCCGGGTCCCAAACCTAAGCCCAGGGCCGACGGCTGCTGAACCTATCTTATTTTCGTGACATGAGCCATCTGTAAAGAAAAAAGCAGAGTCGCAGTTGAGCTCTACATACTCCTGGAAGAGCATTTGAGCTTCCACCGGAGGTATACTGGTCTTCTTATAATCGAAAAGAAATTCGATGGATAGGTCTTTGAGGAGCCAAAATGGAATCATAGGAGGATTTAGAGTAACTTCAGTGTACCTAATGTTTAGCAGTTGATGAGCTTGCTCAAGGCACCCAGGGAGAAAGCATGATCTACGCAGTGGGCGTCGGGTTCTTGGTTTCCTCACCTCCATCGCTGGTATAGCAATGTGATTTCGAACACTTTTTGCTCTGTAGTAATAGCGGAGGAAAAGAAAGACGCGTCGGTCATCAAGTGCTGGAATGCCGGTATCTGCACGAAGAGCAAGAACTGGCGATGTGCGAAAGGCCCCAGTTAGTTGACTGATCATATTGCACTGCTTAGTTTAAGTTATAAAACAACTACATGCTGCTTGGCTGAGGTTATAGCCTCTGAGACAGGTAGCTGCTTTTACTAAATAATCCATGTTAAAAGTGGTCTGTGGTGGTGAAGGTTAAGTGCATCAATTTTCCCTCGTTACTTTGCTGCAGGTATCTGGTCAGCCAGCAGGATGGCGCTGAGCCGAGGCTGCCTGTCAGGCCTGGCGCGGAGGGATCGGTGGCTGGATGCCGGCTCAAGATGTCTGACAGTTTCAGCGGTCTCACTGCATAAAACACGATGGATGCCGACGGCACCATCCAAGGTTTATCGTGTGCCCAAACGGCCGGAGATCCCACAGGAAGACCGAGTGGAACTTAAAAACCTCTACAACAGTTACCGAACGGCAATGAAGTCATTGAAGTAAGCACACTGATGTTTTGGTTCTGTGTGAATGTGTTAAATGTACGTATCGACTCAATGTTTGTTTGATGATGTTTATTTGAATGAGCCATGCCTCACAATTGAGAAGAAATGTCGCAAATTTACGTAAAATAGGCCGGATTCGATGTCAACCGGCAGACAAAGATTCTACGTCGTCCGGCCAATCCCGTACGATAGCCGCAGCCCAGCCTCCGCCTACCTCGAACGGCATTGGCCGGACGACGTAGAATCTTTGTCGCCCGGGAGACATCGAATCTGGGGATAGTCTCCATGCCGTGACCTTTGTTTGACCCCACTGAGTGGCGGCTGAGCTCTGACCGTGTCTGGTGATGTCCGTACTCAGCGGGTACCTGCGCGCCGACTGGCAGCGGCGTCAGAGCAGCCGCGCCCAGCCCGGCCACGTGCTCTCGCCGGAGGAGGAGGAGGCGGAGCACCGCCAGCTGATGGAGCTCAACCGGGCCGAGAACGCGCGCATGGCCGCCGAGCGTCAGGCTAGGTAACTGGGCACCTCTGCGCAGTGGGAAACACCCGACTGCGGAAAAATTGTCATCTCGTAGCCAATGCCATATGGTGAAATAGCGAGACTTTATTTTCCTAGCGATCTAGCGAAGGTCTATTCCCAACTTGACACGATGTTAGGTCAGGTTGCAATGTGATGACGTGAGACGTGTGTACTTTGCATATGCCTTTTTGTTTTGTAGCCCAGTGACGTAAGTTATACGGTATACCGCCCGCGGGCTGCGTGATCAGTAATGCGTTACACCCATTTCAGGCTGAGTGATAAGGCGGAGGCGATCCGGAGGAAGGTGGAGCGTCTGCAGCAGGAGGCCCTGGAGCAGCAGCAGCGTGACCACGAGACGGCTGTCAGCCTGATCCGCACGCAGGAGGTGAGTCGGAGTCATGTGACTCGGTTGGCCTGCACACAGGAGGTGAGTCGGAGTCACTGTGCCAGAGCAAGAAAAGATGTTCAAGAAAATGGATTACCGTTCGTCTGTACATATGGTTGATGGCATAATATTCCATGGTTTGTGCTGTCGAGTGTCGACTATCTTCGTGACTTCCGTGGTTAGTGGATTGACTGGTTAGGAGAATTGTGACTGGTGGTAGGGAAATGAACTAGATAGGAAATGTAGTTGCTTGACTTTGACGTAGAGAAATGGGAAGTAAGAATTGTTGAGACGTAGCGATGAAATCGTGCACCGTTCGTTTATTGGAAACGCAGTGGCTGTATTTCTCGTCTCTCTGAATGCTGTATTTGCCACTTTGCAGGAGATATCACGTCTATACATCCCTCGGGAGAAGCTGGAAGAGGCTATAGAGAACGCCATAAACAACGAGACCGACTACAACTACGCCATCGACCGGGAGGGCCGGCGGTGCGAGGGCCGTCTCACGAGGCCGTCGTAGCGTCTCAGAGCCGCGGGCTGCGGCCGGCTGGGGCTGTGGCTGCCGCCGTGAGCCGAAGTGCTTACTGCTTGCCGGACACCGTGCGTCTAACTCAGATCACTGGGAACAGCGAGTGACTGGCTACCGTGACTACTCGTGTCTCCCAAGGTATTGCGCGGCACTTTTGACGTTTTTTATAGTGTGGAATGCTTGTGATCGTCGAGTCTGATGAAGTATCGAAGAGATGGCACTATTGTGTTCTAGTGTATCGCTATTCGTTTTTGTGAAACATGGAGGTCCTGATATTGGCCTTTTTATAATTGATATTGAAAAGGAATTTCGAGAAATAAGATGCACTAATCCGTAAAGTAACTTTCGTAAACGGAACTGGTTTTCCTCGAGTTGTCTGCTTTAATACCAGTTCAAGTGGCTCTCGATAACACACACAGGCGGATGAAACTTTGGCTGGCGAAACGTGATTATGAAATGTCTAAAAAAAAAGTCTTCTTCAGTTTATAGAGTAGGGATCATGTCATGATCATGATCAAAGGATCATGTCGACTATGAAGTTCCAGAGTTTAGAATTGCTGAAGCTACTTAAGTCTCCTCCAAGTCGAAAGAGGCCGACTGCACGGGGCAATGTTTATGGATTTTTAGACGGCACGTTGCCAGGCGGGTGACACAAACATTACCGACACATTGAGTCAGACAAACAGATTTCTCCACACCATGGTCGCCGATGCCGTGACACACCTCAGTTATCGCGATAGCCCCAGCCGACATCTGTACCCCCCCCCCCCTCTCGGTATGCCGCCGCGATCCCACAGAGGTCACGTGACGCGGATGGCCCCGGCGGTTATTTGCCGACGGCGCGCGGACAGAGGTCACGTGACGCGGATGGCCCCGGCGGTAATCTGCCGACGGCGCGCGGACTTCGGTCCGGCCGGTGGCTATCTGGCGCCGTCAGCGGTCGGCTGGCGGCCACCAGACGACACCAGTGGCCGGCAGCCGGCGGAAGGGTGCAGTGACTGTGACTCGGCCAGCCTTTCCCCTGCCGCCACCATGCTGTTCTCTCTGGCGATGGCCGCTGTGGTGACGCTGGCCCTGTACCGGCTGTACGCCGGAGACGTGCCGCCGCGCGTCATGTTCGACGTCTACACGCGCCCGGGCATCTTCTACTACCCCAAGGTGGCCACCTTCTGGCTCTTCCTCACCTTCAGGAAGTGGAAGGCGGCGCGGGACCAGCGGCGCGGAGCCCAGCCGGGCGCCGCCGCCGGATACGGTGTCAAGTCGCGCGCCTCGCCGGCTGAGATGGACTGCGTGCAGCCGCTGGCCGAGCACCCGCGCGCGCTGGACGCCGTGCTGTTCCAGGGCGCGGCCGGCGACGGCTCGTGGCTGGTGCTGGCGCTGGCGCGGCGGCCGCGCGGCGTCTCCAACACCATCTGTCTGGTGACGCTGCCGGGCGTGGGCACGCTGCAGATGGAGCGCCACCCCGACACCACCGTGTTCGGCGACGAGCACTCGCACGCCGGCGGCGGGTTCCGACTCACGCCGCTGGAGCCCATGCGCTGCTGGAGACTCCAGTTCTCCGGAAAGATGCGTCTCGACGAGAAACTGGTGGACGTGACGTTCGACCTGACGTACCGCTCCGACCTGCCCTACTTCGACTTCGACACGGACATGGCGCCGCTGGCGGTGGCGCGCGCCATGGCGCTCGAGCCGTGGACGCGGGAGTTCTTCGAGCGTCTGCGGGATGCTCACCAGACGCACTACGAACAGATCGGCACCACCAGCGGCACGGTGACGGTGTCGGGCCGCGAGCATCGGCTCCAGGTGACCGGTATGCGCGACCACAGCTACGCGCGCTACCGCGACTGGACGCTGCTGCACCGCTACGGCCTGCACACGCTCATCATGGAGGACGGCACGCGCGCCCAGGTCGGCGTCGTCTCGCAGCCCTACTCGTTCTCGCGGATCGAGCTCGGCTATCTGTACACCCCGGAGGGCCGGCTGCACGCGCTCGACTGGTGCGATCTGGAGCTGGGCTACCACGGCGAGCAGGGCACTCCGCCGGCCGACTACGGCTTCAGCTTCGGCGCCGGCGGCCGCACCTACCACGCGCTGGTCAAGGTGGAGGACGTCCAGGAGGTGTACATCGGCTGGGAGTGGGAGGCGCGCATCCTGGAGCGCCGCTGCTCGTACCGCGTCAACGGCCTGTCGGCGCACGGCGTGTCGGAGTGGTACTACCGGCACCACGGCGGCCGGCCGGAGCGCTACGCCAGCGCCGACCCCGCCTGGAGCCGCGACATCGAGAAATGAGGCCCACCGCCGGGAGCCGCGACATCCGGAAATGAGAGCGTGCCCTGACGAACATGGTCTGGGTGGGAGAGGGTGGGAAAGTGGCCATGAATGCGAAAAGTGAAAGACATACAAAGAGGCGTTGAATTGTCATTACAAGTATGCTGTGTTGTGATTATATGCACTTTTTTAAGTCCGCAATCCGCATATGCATAGAAAACGATGCCTATGTATTTAGTACACTACAGACAACGGGACAATGCGGACTAGGAATAAAGCACGAGCAAAGGGCATCATTTTGTCTGACCCCCCCCCCCTACACACACACTTGTCCCAAGAGATCCAGTATGAGTGTAAATTGAACGCTGTAATGACCAAAGTGTATGTTTGGGGGGGGGGGGTTGGGCGCCCGGACTACAGTGGTCATCGGCGAAAGTGTATGTTTCTGGGATGCTACTAAGAAGTAAGAAGTAAATGCTAGGTATTAACTAATGTCAATGATCCATTCCATTTTCCGTTGACAACTCGGAGATCGATAGAGCCAGGTACGGTTTATATTGTTCACCATTGGTTATGAAGTGACGGACAATCCACCACCGAGTGATGCCTACAGTCACACCGTCGCACCGTGCCCACCACAGGGAGCGCCGACCGCCACCGGCTGCGAGCGCGAGATCGTTGTAGCGGCGAGCGCCCGAAGAGTATGTTCTCACACGGGCAGTGCAGGGATGCTTCTTATACACAGATACATGACGAGTTACACAACCGGATATTAGTTATTAACGCACTTTATCTAATGTAATACCTATTCGCCACATCTAATGTCACCAAATCACAATATCGAGCCTCGTATTACCCGGCGAATATTACGTGCATTTCGTGCACAGGGCAGCCAACGCCTCCAGGTCTGAAGACAAGCGATGAATGGCCTGTTTTTGGCACGGGCGTGATAAGGTACGGCAAGTACTGTCCGCGGCGGACACCAGGCTGCTCCGGAATCACGGTCCTCGCTCGTTGAACACCTTATCAGTTGCGGAATCGCGGCCACATACAGAATACACACTAAACATGTGATATCTCACTCACATCCACGACCGCTCGAACTCAATGGGGCCCATTAGTTTATCACAAGGGACACGCTGTCCCCCCGAGTCTATATCTAATATTTACAGGGTAACGACACAACGGATGGCTAAGTTACCAGGCCAATCAATGGTAAGATAGGCCAACAGAACAGTGAAACGAGGATGAGATTAAAACAAGTGGATTCACCAATCGCTGGTTGACGTGCACGTCGCACGATAAATGCTTCAAGTTATAAGGTGCCAACTTCCAGTCACACCCGAGCCAAAAACAATTGACAGGGGAGGATCAATTATACGGTAGGTATATAGTTAAGGCTTGCACTGCCCAGAACACAACAACGCTCGCCGTAGCAGCTCCAACCGAGTAACTTTAAAGTACCGTTGCCGATCCACAACCAAATCTTCCGACGATTTAGAAGTAGTTCCACGAGTCCCCCTCACTGTCGAATGCCACGAAAAAGCCCAGGATTGTCAGAAACATGATGATGTTTCCTGTGAAGACGAGGGCACAGGCGCCCCACTCGATGACCGGACCGTCGACGGGCGCGTGCGCAAGTACGATGGGCAGGCCGAACGCCGAGATGACGATACCGGCAGTGAGGAAAACGGCCAGCTCCGTGCACGCGTTGCCGGCGCCCGAGTCCTCGGCGTACCGGCGCGCGATGGTGTACGGCAGTGGCGCCAGCATGTAGAACACGATGACAAAGAACGGCCACCAGTTGTTGTACTGTGGCAGTGCGCAGGCCAGCACCATGAACATGATCCCAAGAGCACCAGAAAATGCTAAGAGAATCAGAGCCTTCACGCTGTTTGCCATGACTGCTCAGTAATCAGTGACAGGTGCCAAATAGAGCATGTAAATGTGGGAAATTGTAGCTACCTGAAAAAGACAGGTAAATATCATCAGATGCCATAAACAAATCACAATGACATGCATGATGTAGCCTTTCAAGTATGTACCTACTTGACCAATAGCTCAGCTATCGCCACCTGTCAAATAGGGTACCAGTATAGCGCCTTTTGGGGCGACTAACGGAGCGAGCGAGGGGGTGAGTCTTGCACGTGCGAAATTCGAGGGGGTACCTCCAACTGACTTGTGCACGGCACCCTACTGACCGGTTTCTAGCGATGTGCCAAATTTGAGCACAATCGGCCCAGTCGTTCTCGAGATCTGGAAGCGGCACCCTGCACGTGCGCACGTGCAAAATGGGTCCCAGCTGACTTTTGCACGGCACCCTACTAACCGGTCCCTAACCGCATACCAAATTTGAGCGCAATCGGTCCAGCCGTTCTCGAGATCTGGAATTGAGCCCTGCACGTGCGCACGTGCAGCAGCACCCCAACTGTGGTATATGGATATGTATTGCCTAGTGGGTGCCTACCTACCTGCCAACTTTCAGCGCAATCGGCCCAATAGTTACCGAGATATTGCAACAATTACAAAACTGACACCTCTTCGTTTTGCACGTGGCACGTGCATAAGGGGTCACCCACATGCATCGGGAATAGTCCAATACTTGGTAGAAGGAATGAAGCTACCCTACAAAAATTACCGCATCTAAATCGGTCAAGTGGTTGCTGAGATATAAGCCTCGCAAAAGCGTCCGCACGGCCGGCCGGCCGGCCGGCCGCTCATACTCAGAAATTTCCGTTAACCCGCGCCCCGTAGGGCTACCGGCGGACCCTACCACCCGTAGGGGGGGGGGCGTTTCGGCCCCCCCTAAGATCTCGGAAAGTTACCGGCCGATTTTCAAAATTCAAACGGCGTTCGATAGCCCCACCCGGGAACTACCTTGTGACCAAATTTCATTGACCTAGGTCAAACCGATGACGTCACAGGTCAGGTCAAAGGTCAGATTTTCACCGTTCACAGGCAATTCAAGAAATGTGCTGTGAAAGCGAGTAAATTGGTAATTTATTGAAAACCATCGATGGTACATTGTTCGTCAAACACATACTTTGCTATCTGAGGTCACTGATACCAGGTCAGGTCACAGTGAGGTCAGGTCACCGGGGGTCACAATATGAATGTGTCGTGTGATACATGTTTTATGGTCCATTTTACATGACAAATGCGATTATGTGGGTTAGGCAGCCTTTGGGGCCAGCCTAGGTCACGTTTTTGTGAAGGTCAGGTCAAGGTCAGGTCAAATTAGGTCAAATTTCAAAGTTGATATTTTTGCATAAAATGGGTATCGATTCGATGCAGCTCGTCACGGAGAGTCTAATGGTGGTCTTCGTTTTGCTCTACGAGTTTTAGAATTGCCAAAAATTGAGTTTGAAAATTTGACGTCATCATTTTTGAACAGTTTTTTCGCTATAACTTGGCCAAAAAACGAGGTATCGATCTGAAATTTGGTATGTAGATAGAAGACGGTAGGCACTATCACATATATTCCGTTTTTTTCGAAACTCAAAAAACTTTTTGGATTTTTTGGCGAATATATCCCAAAAAAAATGCTTTTTTGATTTTTGGGGGTCAAAACTCAAAAATTTCAAAAATTCGAGATAGCAGTTTTGTAGCCCTGTCAATTCTACACCTTTTATGTCTTGATCATTTTTCTGTATCTTCAAAGCTGTAGTCCTGACAGGTCTTCTCGCGAAGGTCTTTTTTCGGTCGAAAATGACAGAACATGACGTCACTCTGACGTCATTTGTGGCCAACCTATCATAGCCTCTGGAAAAATTTTTGGTCACAATGTGTAAAATTGATGCCCGGAGGGAAAGTTTGGTGGCGATATCTCCAGCCGTTTAGGAGATATTGACCGAAAAGGACAGGGGGGGGGGCCGTTTCGGCCCCCCCCCCTACGGGGCGCGGGTTAATCTAAGGAAAGACTACGCTCGCTTCGCTCGCTCCGTAATGACAATCTATAGTTCGTTTTTCTTAAGTTTGACCCTCACTGTAAATATCTTTTTGAACACAGCACGGGAATTGCTAGCTGAATCACTGAGAAAACTGGTTAGCGCACTTTGTATTGGAGATATGAATGAATATTTTTCCAAATAAGTTTGGAACACCCATGATGCACGGTTAAGTTAAACACCGTACCTACGATTTAGTTATTAGTTGAGTTATAATCCCTGACAAGTCGTCTATAGGTACCCGTAGAGTTGTAAATATAGACAAATACGAGCTGAGAGTCTGGGAACTAGGATCCAGGTAAAACTATTTTTGATAAAAGTTGATCGTAGTTTCTATGGCCTTGAGTTGATCGTCTGTGATATCAATGTGCGTTAACCAGTTTTCTCAGTAATTTAGCTACCGATTCTCGTGCTGTGTTCAAAGAGACATTTACAGTGAGGGTCAAACTTGAAATAAACGAACACAGGCCGTCCTTCGCCGGCACAAAGGGGGGGGGGGTACGACCCCCCTCGCGTTTGGCCCCTGATCGAGCTAGAGCTTCGCGGAAAAAACGAGCGTGTTGCTCGTGACGAGAGGAAGCCGATGATACCCAATTTGAAGATCCTAGGTCATCAGTTGACCTTCTGGGTCAGCTCAATGACCCAAAAGTCGGGAAAATCGGGACTTGTTAGAACATCGTAAAGTGTGCTGCTATGTTTTTTTTCTCGGGGTGCTGACCAGGAACATCATGTGAGTTTTGATCACAGATGATGTCTTTAAGCATTTAGGCCAGGTCGGGTCAGTTCAGGTCAGGTCAACCAGTAGGGGTCCTGCTGGGTATTCGTAGTACGTGTCAACCGCTTCTGACAGCTTCGTAACATGTTACGAAGGCATCAAAACTACTTTAAATGTTCAAATGGTTGCTAAATTCGAATTCAGCTCCAAAAACTAGTCTAGAAGCATGCAACACTCGAAAAGTGGACCGAGGACCGAGGTCATCAAAGGTCAATGACCTAACCTGACATTCAGGTGACCTTGACAATTGACATCCACCCTAATCCATGGGAGCAGCATCAAATCACATGTTTGAACGCTTGAAACCACGAAAAGACTGCAAACGCGCGGCTAATGCGAGCCGACATACGCCGAATCGCGATTCAGGCCAAGCATTGTCTCGAAAAAGTAGGTCACAACTCACAAGTCAAAGGTCATTTGGGTCAGAGTCATGAAATTTTCAGGGTATGTGTAAAATTGATCAACGCGAGGGTATTGAATGCTTCGTCGCGATCGGCCGATTTTTACGCGAGTTATTCGCGAAAAACCTAGGGAGGGGGGGGGGGTACTAAACTCCCTGTGCCGGCGAGGATAAGGGAATATACCAGTTACCACTCTCCTCAAATTAAGTTTTTTTTTGGAACAGTTTCAATGCTTTTTTATGTATGAATGATCAGAAAAGAAAAGAAACTACTGAACATTTACAGAAGGTTAAGTGAATCACTTCGGAAAAATAAATGAAATATCTTTGCCTAGGAAGATCATTGGGCAGTAAAGACTCCTGATTTGTGCTACTCAGCTCAAGCTACGAAGGGAATTGCTATTTCAGCTCACAGCCCTACATCAAAAGTGGTTTATTTCCTTTACAGTGCTGTAGTTTAGCCCTCGCTCGTTTAGGGGGAGGGGGGGGGGGTCGAACGAACCTACCTCGGTTTTCCGCGAATAGCTTGCTAAAAAGGGGTCGATCGAGACGAACCTTTCAGTAACCTCGCGTTAATCAATTTTACATCGACCCTAAACATTTTATATAGAAAATTTTATAGAATTTTATGACCCTGACCCAAATGACTTTTGACCTGTGACTTACTTTTCGAGATCATGTTTGGCCGGAGTGGCGATTCGGCGTATGTCGGCTCGCATTAGCCGCGCGTTTGCGGTTTTTCGTGGTTTCAAGCGTTCAAACATCTGATATGATGTTGGTCCCATGCATTAGGGTCAATAGGGTAAGTGTAAAGGTCACCTGAAGGTCAGATCAGGTCATTGATCTTTGATGAGTTCAGTTCACTTTTTCAAGTTATACATGTTTCTAAGCTAATTTTTGGAGCTGAACTTGAATTCAGCAACCATTTGAACATTTATGAAGTAGTTTTGGTGCCTTTTAACATGTTACGAAGCTGTCATAGGCAGTTGACACCTACTTTAAATTCTCGGCAGGACCCCTACTGGTTGACCTAACCTGACCCGACCTGGCCTACATGTATGAAGACATCATCTGTGATCAACACCTACTAACATGAACATGATTTTCATGAGCAGCACCCCAAAAAACATGGTAGCCACACATTACGACATTCTAACAGGTTCTGATTTTCCAAACTTTTGGGTCATTGACTCAACCTGTGAGGTCAACCAATGACCAATGACCTTAAAATTGGGCATTATCGGCCTCCTCAGTTCTCTCGTCATGGGATACACGCTCGTTTTACCACAAAAATCTAGCTCGAACAGGGGCCAAACGGCAAGTGGGGATCCAATGGACCCCCTCAGAAATATTAACTTACCCCCTCCCCCATACGTTCACGGCTGGCAAAACACCAAAACGGGTGAGGGTTAATCTTACTTTTGTAGCTTACATTTGTAGTGGTAAAGAGCAGGCATCACACTTGCTTTTTGCAACCAAGGAGAAGCACTGTAGGTCTGTAAGTTAGGTTGTAGGTTGTAGGTAAGGTTAGGACTAGGTCAGATTTTGCTAGGTTTGGTTTGGTTTGATTAGAGAGCATCACTGGGTAGGTATATCACTTCTTCGGTATTTATTTACTTTAGGACCGGCAGCCTTTACTTTCGTCGCGAACCCCAAGTGATAGAAAGAAGCATATCGCATGACATAATTTGACCTATTGATTTCATAGCTGATAGTCATTCATGGCACAAACAAGTTAAAATGCACCAATACAATATTTACCGTCACCGCCATAGATCCCCACAAACTGCGTACTCCACCGGCCACGCACTGCGCTCCAAGGTTTAGTGAATACATATTAACGATGCTATTCAACTGTGAGGAAAGTGACGTCATGAAATTTCTCGTCGCGAAGCAGCGGCAGTGCCGAAGGCAATGCCTTAGGAGAGATTACAGGCAATGGTAGGTCAAATATTTTTAGGTTAAGTGATTGTGCATTAGGCTTCAGGCCACAATCACTTAACCTAAAAATATTTGACCTACCATTGCTTGCAATCTATTCATGCTAGCAACTTTTTCCTTATCCCCGGGTAGGCAAATATCAGTAGGTCAGGTTAGGTAAGGTTAGGTTATGTTCTGATAATTTTTTCCGTGTTTAATTTGCTATCCTACCCCATATCATCCAATTTTTAACCATTTAAATTTTTCCAATATGTATTTTTTGGTATTATGACGTCATTTTCATTGAATTAAACATGCACACATTTTTCCTTTTCGCAAATGGCAACGGCGCAAACACGTTGTTTATATCGTAATCGCCGCATTCGTATAATTTTGTCGGTGTACGTTACGTGACGCGGGGTTAGATGGCTGGATTTTATCAAGTTTTTGTGTGACTTTTTGCAGTTTTGGTGACATGTAAATATCATTTCTTGATTTAGGGTGTCAAATAATGGAAGATTGTCGAAAATTTCCCTTTGAAAAAGTGTGCCGGTCCTAAAGTAAATATTTACCACTTCTTCTTGGTTGCAAAAAACAAGTGCGACGCCTGCTTTACAACAACTGCTTGCATCTCATTTTCCTGTAATTGAATCACAGGACAGTAAATTTAATTTTATTGATAAATGTCATTAATGTTCTTAATGACACCTTCGGTTTAAGCCAAAATCATTTAACTTCTTTACTGGAATGGATTAGAATTTGAAACTGACTTTGCAATGCATAGTCTCACACTAAATCTAAGTTGCATAAAAGTATTATCGTCTAGTCTACTTTACAAATTTGTATTAGCATAGTATTTAACCAATTTGACAACCTAGAAAATTGAATTCCTGCTCGTAATCTCACATGCAACCCCCAAACACATACAAAATTGACAACCACAATCGCCGCAATGGCCGCGAAAAATCCTAGCAGGTAATCAAGGGTAGGTATTTCTATCACTTTAGGGCAATGCAAATGCTATGACGTCATAAAATTGACATGAAAACTTCAAAAAGGACGTTCATTGAAAAATGATGTTTTCATGAAAAATCTAATATAGGTGCTTAGGCTGTAATACCTTTGCGATCATCAAAAGCTATTACAAATTTTCAAGACAAAGTGGTTGTCAACCATTGTAAGCGAACTGATCTTTCTGTTTCTACGTGCTGCCATCTACACACAAAGAGTTCGCCCTTGTACTCAGTTACCTTCTACCTCTACGAAATTCCACGATCAGAAATACAAGACAATGCAAAAAATGTATCGTCTATTAAATTTTGCCATTGCATAGCATTGTGCTGGCAATCTTGCTTATCTATGAATCTGACAGCCTAGGACTTCGATTTTCAAATCATGATCATTGATCTAACTTGCAGTTTGCTCTTGGTTTTTGGAAATAACTTGCAATCACGTAGCAAGTAAAATCGTCCGTGTTCTAACACTGAATAATTTTTGATATATTCGGCATCAGTTTCATCCCATACGAACAAATTATTTTATTTGATTGTCTATTTGTTGATAATTATAAATCAACTGTATAAAGGGAGTTTTACCGTGAATCGATAAGATAACAATTAGCAGCCTCTTCCTAGTCATATTTGGTCACATAAATGACGCTCTAGAAACGAGCAGAAGACTCCTCATTTTTGCAATCAAATTACGTAATATGGATTATTTTGTTTATTTATTACAATGCACTGATATTATACACTGTATTGTTACAAAGTTTCTCGCTAAATTATTGCAGAAATTGTAGCACTGCATACACTTTTATCAAAAGCACCAAATTATAAGCAGTGACGCTTGCAGTATGTAAGGCAGCTTACCAACCCAACAGACCTACCTTGGTACCCTTGGTTCATTACCTACCGAATTTCTCGGGCATTGTGTGTGGAAAAATTGCTGTGTGTGCCGTGTGTCAGGGAGACACCGGTTGGTCACGTGACTCGGAAACAAAAATCAGCTGATAGAGTGGCGGAATTGACGTAATCAAACACGAATAATTCCGGACGATAGAGCGGCAATATAGAAGTTTTCTTCACAACAGGCAAACATTGCAATGTTTTATCATTCTATGATCAAGAAACGTTTATAAATCATATATTTCTTCGATGATCACTGCCGCAACCGACACGCACATGTCGTAGCCAGCGCATAAAGCTGTGCTTTGCGATATTAAATGTAAAGAGAAGCATTCTATATCTTGCTTCAACCTTCTACTTACGCGTTTATAATTACGACAGCGACACCATACGGCCTATCGACGCTATGCAACTCCATGGAGTGTCCGGCCGCACTCCGCCGAGTGTGCCGAGATCAGAGGCGGACCATCCGGGGCACGTCCAGCTGCACTGCCCGGTCGCTGGGAGGGCGACACCTAGCGCCGCTCTGGCCGCCCGCTTCCGCGCACAACTTAGCTACCTGGCTACGCCTGTGGGGGGGGGGGAGGGAGAAAACCAACAACAGTCTGATGAGCCAATGGGGTCTGCGAGCCGCGCCAATCATCGCCCTTCCGCGCGCAGACGGGAGCTAGAGCTATTCATCTCCTTTCCTGTTTTCGCTGGTCCGCCAGTCACCAGCATCGTTCCGTGCTCTCCATCGTCGCGATTCGGCCGTGTTGTCCTTTTGTGCGTCAGCAACAACAGTCAGAGAGAGAGAGAGAGGGAGAGAGAGAGAGAGAGAGAGAGAGAGAGAGAGAGAGAGAGAGAGAGAGAGAGAGAGAGAGAGAAGAGAGAGAGAGAGAGAGAGAGAGAGAGAGAGAGAGAGAGAGAGAGAGAGAGAGAGAGAGAGAGAGAGAGAGAGAGTCTCGGATCACGCCAGACAAGACAGCCACATGGGTATCTATTGTTTATTTACTTTCCAGTGATCGTAGGCGTTTAGTTGTTTAAAATAGTGAAATATATCAACTTAAATTCACATATCGCTTTTGACTCATGGCCCGGCTGCTTGATTTTGCCACAGCGTACATAGTACATACACAGCCGATCTCGGTATGTTTCTGTTCCAGAACAGCAGCTGCAGTGGACACCAAAAATGCATTCATGTTCTGACAACTTATTCCAAAGATACACATATTTTACGACGAACGTTTTAGAGAAGGTATTTTTTTTTCGCTCACAGATGCTCAGCAAGAAGCGCGCGATTGATTGCAACTAGCACGCTCACGATTTCTAATATAGCGCTGGCCAAAACCTGGCCCTTACATCCAAATATAATAATATTAATTCCAGTCTCTGTCCTATTTACTACTTATTAGCGCATCGAGAGTGAATGATACCACGGCATAACCGTCATATTACATAGCACAAATTGCGAGACGACGTCGAGACCCGTATCGGTGTTTACTTCACAGTTCTCTATATACCGTGCCGTGTGTAATGCGTGTAATGTGAGAGATACCAACGATACCAATACCCAATACCGAGCGCGTGTGTGTGTGTGTGTGACTATCTGTAAGAATCTTGTGTGTGACGCAGTGTGGGCGACGGGCTTAGTAGGTTGGAACTTGGAAGCGGTTTGAAGTTACAGTAAGGTGTAATATTTTCGTTTAGTAGGTACCTACTCTATAGTTGAAGTAAGTGTATGTTATGAGTTGTGAAGGCTTGAGGCTGGATCCAAGCTAACTCAAACTGAGAACCGTTGTATACTGCTCCAAATTCCAGGGATGCAGTGCGATTGATTTTTGGTATTTGTCCCTCCCACATGTCTAAAATGGACAAAATTTGTTTTTCTCACATACCTATAAGGGAACTGTATTGGTATGTACCTACCAAAAAAAGAGGTTTGCGCCTACATCATCCAAAGTGAAGTAAAATTTAAAATCATATTTTAACCTACCTACTGCAACAAGTGACCCTATCTATCACTATAGATGGCAAAGCTGGCAAAGTGTGCTTAGCAGCTCTGTATGCCACCAATTGCATCAATTGGCTAATTTTGTACCAAGTATGAGATGAGGTCTCCTTTCAAAGCTAATGAAAATTGGGAAAGTGAAATGCTATTGGTAGAATGTGACATGTCTATATGCCTATTTGTGTGTGTTTACGAGCGAGCGAGCGCAGCGAGCGAAGTGAGTCTTTTCAATATAACGGAAAAATCTCAGTATGAGCGGCCCGGCCCGGCCCGGCCCGGCCCGGCCCGGCCCGGCCCGGCCTGTAACGCTTTTGAGAGGCTTATATCTCAGCAACCGCTGGACCGATTGGCCTGCGGTCTTTTTTGTTGGGTAGCCCCATCCCTTCTATCCCGTAATTGACTACTTTTGATACATCTCAGTGACCGTCGTGGCACGTGCCACGTGAAAAGTCAAGGGTGTTCAAGCTGTTTTGCAAAAGTAGTGATTTTGAGAGGTTCATATCTCAGCAGCCGCTTGGGCGATTGACTTGCGGTAATTTTTGTAGGGTAGCAGTATCCCTTCTACCCAAAACAGGATAGTCTCGATGCATGTGGTTCACCCCCAGTGCACGTGCAAAATACAACAATAAGAGGTGCCAAATTTGTTCCCATTTCAGTAACTCGGTAATTACTGGGGCGATTTCGCTGAAACTTGGCATACAGGTAGGTACCCACCAGGCAATGCATTCCCATGTGTTGCGGTTAGGGTGCTACTGCACGTGCGCACGTGAAGGGGGCGTTTCCAGATCTCGAGAACGGCTGAGCCGATTGCGCTCAAATTTGGTACACGGTTGGGGACCAGTTAGTAGGGTGTCGTGCAAAAGTCATTTTGGACCCCGTTTGCACGTGCGCACGTGCAGAATGCCGCTTCCAGATCTCAGGAACGGCTGGGCCGATTGCGTTCAAATTTGGCACACCGCTAGCGACCGGTTTGAAGGGTGCCTTGCGCAAGCCCGTTGGAAGCACCCTCTCGCCCTTCTGCACGTGCATGGCTCACTATCTCGCTCGCTCGTTCTTCGCCCAAAAGGCGTTTTACTGGTTTCTAACAATGGCCTTCGTTTCAGGAAACCTCTCGGTTTATGATAAATCAAGTATTTCATTCTTGGTTCAGGCTTGTTTGGAGTTTGGACATAACCAGTCACTTCATCAACAGGGAACTGTCATGTCTTCCATGGCAATTCTTGCAATTGTTGCTTTATGCTTATGGTTGGTGGTAAAGTTTCTGAACTTGCAAAGCTCTCCATCCATACCTTCCATAACATGCAAGGACCAGAAATTCTGTGAGAACATTATCAAACACTGCCCAGATCTGCTGAAACGGTAAGTATTGCTCCTGCTTGTTAGCTTTCATTGTCAGAGCCTAAGAACAGCTGCACATTGCTCAAGTTGTCAGCAGCTCATTGCATTCATTTCATGTTTTCATTGTACAATGTGTGCCTTATCTAAAAATAAGTGAATGATTTTATACTAATATGTAATATTTACCCAAACATTGGGTACACAATGCACTTAATGCCATTATGGTGTATGACCAGACCTTGTGGTTACCTGAAAAAAAAAGAATGCTACCTCTCACCAGAAGGAGCTTATACATGAAGAGCATCATATATCAAAAGCTAACTTTATGCACCTGAGAAACAAACGTGCTTGTCTATCATTGTCAGTGTTACCCAAGGTCTGCATTTTTAGAACACTGTTTGTCATGAGCTTTTGCACCATGCACTTCTGCAGTCTACCAGGTGGGAGTCTATCACACTTCCGGCCTGCAGGCGGGGTTCTGACTTCTGACCGTTCTGACTGCACCCTGTGCTGACCAGGTACGTGCCCACGCCGCTGTGGGGCCTCTCGGGCCACCTGCAGACCATCGTGCACGCCGTGGTGGGCCGCGTGCGCACCCGACAGCGCGAGAGTGTGCGCCGCTTCTCCCGTCTGGCGGACGGCGCCACACTCACCTGGGATGAATGGACGCCACTGGACGAGCACCCGGCCG